TGGGGGCAATATTTAAAGACATAAATTTGTCAAAATATAAAATAAAATTTCTATAAAACAAATACATATCATAATTATTCTCTACAAGTTTTCATAGTTTAAAAAATATTGAATGATTTGCTCATTTTCAATACTATCAAAAACCTCTCTCTGTATAAGTAATTAAACAATTATTTAACCATTCGTCTCCCATACGATTTCGCATCCGATTCTTGATGATATTCATAGTAGAAAAAATTCTTTCAACTGATGCAATTGCCACTGATAGTATCAAGGTTAGCTCTAAAAGCAAATATACCAATGGATATACAACATGTTTTCTTGTCTCCAAACTTCATAAAAAATCACCAATCCCTTCTATTTATGAAAAACACTGTTAAAATATATATCTATGAAATAATTTCCAAGTTCGTTATCTAATGCCAAAAGTTCAACTGAAGAAAATTCAGAAGAATAAAATTGAGCAAAATGAATCAACTTATCCTTGTCAAATGTAGAAAATGAATCTCTTGGATTTAAACATGTTACACAAAGAAGTAACTCAGTATTTATTTATGTGAAATGGTTGTTTAACTATTGAAGTTGTTGATCAATCACTTGAAAAAATAATTTAACTTGAAAACATAATTTTAATTAATGTAATGTTCATAACATATAATGTTTCTTCTAAACATAAAAATAGAATGAGTAAATAAAAATTAAAATACTGAATTTCTCATTGAAAATAAAAAAATAATTCAAAAAAAGTAATATAAAAATAATAACTTTAAATACACTAACCTCAAAGATTACTTTAACTATTGAAACATGAAAGAGTAGAAATGGAAGAAGTTTTTTTTTTTTTTTTCCCAATTTCACTCTACACTTTAAAATATGTTAGAAGTTCTTAAAACATGAATAGAATTGGAAAAAGAAAAAAGAAAATAAAAAAAGATATAAAATATCCAAAAAGAGGTTAATAACAATTTATTATTATTTTTACTTAAAATACATATATTACTAATTTATAATTTTTTTATCTTGATTTACAATTTATATGCATAATAATTTTTTTTTCTTCTAAAACACGTAATTTGTTGTTAATTTTTATAACATATTAAAATATTTTTTAAAAATATTTCTTTTCAAACAAAAATAATTATAATAAAACTCAAATTCAGTTATAATTTTTTTTAATTTTTTTAAATTTTTTGTTTCTATTTTTAAATTTTAAATAAAAATAATATAATATCATATATATTAAAAAGCAAAAAACTGAAAAGTTAGTAGGGGCAACTGCCCCCACATTCGTATACCTGCTAAGGTCGAGTTCGAACCCTAATTAAATAGTCTATCTCAAACCTGAGGTCGAGCACAAACCTTGAGTCTCTTGTTAAAGGTCGAGTTCAAACCTTAGCTAAATAGCATATCCCAAATTTGAGGTCGAGTCCGAACCTCGACATTTCCGAGGTCGAGTACGAACCTCGATGCTTCCGTTAAAGGTCGAGTCCGAACCGTAAACAAATAGCAAATCCGAGGTCGAGTATGAACCTCGATGCTTCCGTCTAAGGTCGAGTTCGAACCCTAATTAAATAATCTATCTCAAACCTGAAGTCGAGCACGAACCTTGAGTCTTTCTTTAAAGGTCGAGTTCGAACCTTAGCTAAATAGCATATCCCAAATTTGGGGTCGAGTCCGAACCTCGACATTTCCGAGGTCGAGTACGAACCTCGATGTTTCCCTTAAAGGTCGAGTCCGAACCGTAATCAAATAGCAAATCCGAGGTCGAGTACGAACCTCGATGCTTCCGTCTAAGGCGGAAGGTCAAACCCTAATTAAATAATCTATCTCAAACCTGAAGTCGAGCACGAACCTTGAGTCTTTCTTTAAAGGTCGAGTTCGAACCTTAGCTAAATAGCATATCCCAAATTTGAGGTCGAATCCGAACCTCGACATTTCCGAGGTCAAGTACGAACCCCGGCGCCTTCTTTAACGGTCGATTCAAGACCTTAATCAAATCACTTCACTCGAATTCTGAGGTCGAATACGAACCTCGATGCTCTTGTCAAGGGCCAAGTCCGAACCTTAATAACTTATTCGGCGGTCGAGTCCGAACCACATATCCGAGATCGAGTTCGAACCTCGATGAAACACGCACCACCCTAAATCTAAGGTCGAGTACGAACCTCGACACTATCGTTAAAAACTGAGTACGAGCCGTATACTTGAGGTCGAGTTTGAATCGTGATGAAACATACATGACCCTAAACTTAAGGGCGGATACGGACAACCTATCCAATTCACCACACTCCGGTTTGAGGTCGGCTCAGAACCTCGGCACCAATAAATCAATGTCATCGAACCTTCACAGAAACGTTCACCCAAACAGAAGTCCGAGGTCGAACCCGAACCTCCCTTAGCATATGAGGTCGAGTACGAACCACAGCGTCCGGATGCGAGGTCGAATACGAACCTCGCCAAAAACTTCGTTTTATTCGAAACCGAGGTCGGTATGAACCTCGATGTCCCCGCTTAAAAGTCGAGTTCGAACCTTAGCTAAATCATTTTGCTCAAACCTAAGATCAAACCCGAACCCCACCAAAGCCCAAGGTCGGATACGAACCTCGGCACTTTCAAGGTCGAACCCAAACCTTAATCAAATCGGTAAAATCCGAACCACAATAAAATCAATCAGTTGCTCAAAATCGAAGTGTAAGGGCGAATATGAGCCTCGACACTCCCGATAAAGGTCGAGGTTAAAGGTCGAGTCCAAACCGCTAACCTGAGGACGACTTTGAACCCTGGCAAAGCACACCCCACTCTCAATACCGGGGTCGAATTCAAACCCCGGCACGACCGACTTAAGGTCGAATTCGGACCTTGACTCCAGTCTAGGGTCATTTATGAACTTTCACAACAATTACTTAGTCAAAATTCGAGGTCGAATACGAATCTTAACACATTCATTTACGGCCGGGTTCGAACTCCCACGAAAAGTCCTACTAAACAAAAACTAAGGCCGACCTCGAATCTCGACTTCACCAACTCAAGGTAGAAGTATCACCATATACAAAAGCATATAGCAGACACCAAACATGTGCCTCAAACAGCGCGAACAGCCAAAATTGAACGCAAATACGGACAAGATAGAGCAAAATATATATATATACAAACAAAGTTCTCAAAATTCAGTACATCAATTCAAGCCAAAGAAAAATAAATCTAGCTATTACGAAGGCGGCCTAGGCTGAAGCATAATATATATATACAAACAAAGTTCTAAAAATTCAGTACATCAATTCAAGCCAAAGAAAAATAAATCCAGCTATTACAAAGGCGGCCTAGGCTGAAGCATCCCCGCCAGAACTGTCGTCGGCATCATCCTCCTTGACTAGCCTCCCAAAGCGGACGACTTTCTCCACATGCATGGAAGAAAAGTCGAATCCGGGAGCAAGAAACCGAGCCTGACGAGCAGCCTTTTGGAAGCTCCTCTTGTGCTCAACCACAATGGAACATCCGACCTCCGCGAGCCTCTTGTCCGTGGCCGCCCTCCCCGCCACCAGCTCCGCGAGCTCCGCGAGCTCCGCCTTCAAGGTGGCAATTTCGACGGCCACCAAGAATGACCTCGTTACGGAGAGCCGCCGCTGCCAACTCGCCCTTAGGAGAGGTCACAATGTCCTCCAGAGCCCGTACTTGGCCACGACTAGAGGTCACCTCATCCTCCAAGGAGCGAGCGCGGCCTCGAGAGAAGGCGACGAGCTCCTGCAGCTCCCCCACCTGAGAGGAATAAACCTCATTGGATTGCAACGCAATCTCAAGAGACTTCTGCACCCGGGCAAGGTCGCCACGCGCAGAACGGAGCTCAGCCTCATGCCGCTTCGCCTCACCAAGGGCTGCACTAAGAGCTTTATTCTCTTCCCTCAGGATCTTGTTTGCCTCTTTCCAAGGTTGAAGTCGGCCCCTCAACTTGGCCAGGTCCTCTTGCTACTTAGCCAAATCCTCTCGCTGTTGGCCCCACTTAGGCTTCCAGCTTCCAGTGGCTCACTATACCCATCACTCTCTGCAGCATGACCTGGGCAGCATCAAGGCTGTCCTCGGGACCGACCCTGTCTATCAATCCCCGGTCCTCGGAGCTCAGCGAACCCTGAGGGAAGAACCCCTCCGCAGTCACCCTCGCGCTCCACAATGAATCCATGTCGGCGGAGGCGCTCACGTGATCCAGCCGCACCTTATCTATACCCTTCCCAAAGCGATGGGATAGGTATTGAGTCTGGGCAGGCCTCTGCGACGAGCCCGCCTGCGGCGCCGAATCCGTGGCAGAGGACGGTACTCCCCGCTCAGCACCTAAAAAGTCCACTTTAGGGACCCCCCGCCCCGCCTGCAAAAAACCAGTCCCACGTCAAAAACAAACAATGTGATGTACGAGAAACCACGGAAACAAGAAGACAAAACACCACCCACCTCAGCAGCCTGGGCGACCAGCTCAGCGGCCTGCACCTCAGGTTCCACGGTATTTCCTGCCTGCAAAAAATCACTCAGATCGGACAGCCGGACAACATAACAAAAGGCAAAGGGAAAGTCCGAGAAAGACGATACTCACCACCTTGGCAACTCGGGCAGCCTGCCCGGCAGTCCGGGCCTCCACCTCGGCGGCCTGCCCAGTAGGCTCAGCAATCTGAGCCACCTCCTCAGAAGCCACCTGGGGTGGTGGACTCTCAGTGAGATCCACCGCATCAGCATCGGCGGCCTTGGAGGTCACCTCCTCGGCACCTGGAGGGACTGATTTCCCCCCTCTTTCTCTTCCGACTAGCCTTCAGGGGGCAACATCCTTCCGGAGGCTCAGGAACCTCGAGCTCGGTAATGTTGTAACTGTACTTAAGCTCGCGCCACAAGTTTTTCCCCATAATGTCTGCAAACAAAAATGGAAACACATCAACAAAAAGAAATTACACGAATCCTAGCAAACCACCAAAACACAAAATACTCACTCTCTAAGCCCGTCTCCCTGTAGGACGAATTTGCAAGCGACAAAACGAGCTTGCAATCCAACGGGCGAGGGAGCGCGGCAAGGTTTTCGATGGCGGCTGCCTCTGAAGCCGTCACCTCCAGGTTACCCAGACCATGAAACCTAGACGGTTTGGGACACCAGTAAAAAGGAAACTTCAGCAAGCCGCCGAAGTGGAACACCTCATCCTCTAGGGGGTCAATACCCACAAGGACAACCCGGAAGAACTCCTGTTTGAAGTTTTTATATGATTGGGAGTAGAGAGTAAACAAACCTCCATCCCTACTCCCATTCAAAGATAAAGTGCCATAAGGCGGAGCGCCTAGCTTCAGTTGATAAAAATGAAGAAAGACGCGAAGAGACACCTCTATCCCCAGTACTGTACACAGGACTTGAAAAGCCCTCAAAAAACCCCAACTATTAGGGTGCAACTGGCAAGGAGCCGAGTTGATGAAGTTCAAAAAATCGCACTCAAATTGGGTGAAAGGAAGGCAGACACCTAAATCCCTAAAAAAGCTCAGGTACATATAGAAATGGGGAGGGTCAGTAAACTTCCCCATGTACATACCCTCATCGGCCCGACAAGGCTTAAGCCGAATCATATGGGAGATAGAAGGGTCGCAAACCCTACACAACCTAGAGATCCTATTAACATCAAGAAAGGTCCGAAAGACGCTTTGGACCCCCGCCATCTCACACTTGACCCAGTCACAACCAGGAATACCTGGCTCCGGGCCCCGGGGCAGATCCCTCTTTTCGGCGGTAGCCTTCCCGATAGCCACCGCCTTACCACGCGCCTTACCCCGAGAAGGCACAGAAGAACCGACACTACTTCCCCCAACCATGAAAAAGAAAAGAAAGACTCGAAGAAAAACCGGGAAAAAGAGAAGAGAAGACAGTAAAAAGGAAGTACCTGGTACTCCTCTTCAGAAAATAACCCTAACAACGAAGGGATTACCGGAAACGGTAACTGAAATGGAGAAGACGGAGACGGAAGACAAGCAGAAAAGCAAGAGCAACGGCGTGCACAAGAAACCACAAGAATGGAAAAGAACAAAGTGAAAAAGGCCAAGGGGCGCGAGTGAGAGAAAAGAAAAAACTCTCCCCTAGAATTTCAAAACGGTCACGACACATGTCACCCAAGGGACGCGCCTGACCACGCATTAAATGAGACCCATTATGACAGAGGAACCCATCATTGCATAACCGTCATGACCACTAACGCGCCGACCTCGCGTTTCGAAATACGAAATGACTTTTGCACGAGTGGCATCTTGACAGGCGGACATACACGAAGGGTCACTTCCCCCTGGCGAGCTCGGTCTTAACTCCTCGACCTACGGTCTTTGGAGCTCGGGGGGCTAGTGTACTAACCGTACTTCGCACCCGGGCTCCGAGCCCGGATTAGCAATACAAAACAACCCCGGGCACGCGCTGCGCGACGTCAGCCCGGTATTTGAGCAAATCACACTTGAACCCGAGGATCTCGCCCCAGACCAGATCCGCCCTTCAACTATATCATATCATAACATACCCTATCTTAGGCCCAAGGCCCAAGGCAAACCTAAATCACCCTAAGGTACGTGCATTATATATGAGACTATTATTCATGCACCCTAACTTTGACATCGGAGTCTCTTTTGCAGGTACCTCCCCCATCTTGGAACACCAATACATCAAGCAAAGGAGGCTCACCGATCTTACTGGACGGATCATCCCTACGACCAAATTCCGGTAAGAACAATAACAATATAATATAACCCTGGTTATAATAATAATATTCGTCTATCCTTGTTGTCAATGTAAATTGGAGTATAATTCAGTTATTGTGATTTATGACAAGACACGAGACCCTATCTGTGGGTAGTATGAACAAAAAAGCTTTTACTGCAGAGTCAACGGGATGATTACTAATCCGTATTAAACATAAAAAAGCTTGATGAAGCAATCTCACAAAAATAGATACAGATCAAACCAGTTCACATATTCAGAGACCATAACTCTGGCATCCTAATGCATGAGGATTTTAGAGTGATACATAAAAGCAATAAATATTATCCAAAAAGTGTAATAAATATTAAGTCATTGTGAAAACATTGTTAAAGTTAAAGTAAAATCCACAAAAGAAAACCTATTATGGTCTAGAGGAGAACTAGAAACACACTCTCTAACACATTCTTTAAGTATTGGTTAAAATTTATTGAAAACTACAAAATCATGAATGAGACTCATTAAATAAGAAGTGAAACCAAAACTTTTTTTATAATTTCCTACAAAATTTCAACAAATAGAAGAAAGTGTGTTCAAAAGAGTGTCGCTAACATTTCTCTTATAGTCTAAAGCCTGTTTGGATACAACTTACAAGCTTAAAAGTGTTTTAAGAGTTTCTCTACTGGAAGTCCTTATTTTTAGTAAAGAAACTCTCAAAAGTACTTCTAACTTGTATCCAAACAAACTTTTGATCAAATTTTCTCTCCCAGTTATCTTAGCAATCAAAGCATTCTTTATATTTAAACATAAGTTAACTTCATCATATGGATAAAATTTAGCTCATTACCCATTTCCCAACATAACAAGCAAATAAGACTATCAGACACCTACCTCTTGTCTGAAAGATAGTATCACATCATCTGAGTATTCTTGCTTTGAGAAAACCTTGACAGCAACATCCTACGTGCAGGAACATTAATATAAGTTGAAATATGAATAGTAGCCAGAAAAAAATAGTTTACATTTGCCATATACATTTCATAGGGCTTCCAGAAATCAGACAATGCCCTAATTAAACAATTTTCAATTTAACACATAAAAAAGTACTTTGGTCTGGTCTACTAAATGCTAGTAATTTGAGTTGCAAGTTTGCAACATAACAATTTTCATAATGTATTCGAAAAACTTAAAAATATTAAGCAACATGAACTTTAAACCAGAAAATAAAGGAAGAGAAAAGAACATACCGATCCATACCACAGAGCATGATATACAGTTCCACAAGAACCTGCAAAGCAACAACAGAAAGGTAAATAAAGAACACTCAAACAGATATAGCATAACAATGCACAGGAATCATTGATCACTAGATATTTGGGTTTGTAAGCAAGAGCATCAAATTCATGGATCCTCATAAAACAGCAAAAGAAATTTAAAAATAGGAATTCAGTATACAAATATATCAACATTGTTTTAACTTATAAACAAATTTTTGTTTTTCAGATGATGCATGGATATTGTCTAAAGCTTATTTTTTCAAGCATGCCACTCTAGTAAAGAACACGAGACTACCTTGTCCAATTGGTTCTCCAATTGTCAGATCCTCCCACGAAATTTCATAATCCAAGCAATCAGAGTCAACATCCACTTTATTATTGGCAGCATAACTGTTGCCACTCCCACAGCTGCTGGTACTACTTGTGCTGTTAACATTAATAAAGGAGGACCAGGATCCTGAAGCCTCACTGTTAAGAGGACGATTACTTTCACCGGCCTGACTTTCTTGCTTCAACCCAGAAGAAAGATTCTTCTGATTAATTGACTCGTTCTCTTGATCACCCTGTGACTGCAACCAAGGCCAAGCAGCACGAACATCCCTAGCCTCAGATCCTTCCTGATCATTTGTTCTCCAAGGCCATGATGATGTTTTCTTTTGAATCCATGTTTCAGCCTTAGAAGTTATCATCTTGTGAATAGGTTTTCCTTCACCTTGATCACCCAAGTCTCTCATAGTGTTTCCTTGTGACTTCCCTTCGACACGAGAAACTACGCCAAAAGGAGATTTTAGCACTTCTCCTCTGGGTGTGCTAGCTCCACTTGAATTACCATCATCTCTCTGGTCAGAAAGTGCACAATCCGAGAAACTATGCTCAGAATGATGACTTCCTCCGCTCCCACCTTCACGAATGACATTATTATCTCCCGTCCGGATTCTAGACTTAACTTTGTTACTCACCTTTGACGCCTGCTTCAACGGTTTCAAACATCAAAACATGCCATGCTATACACAAAAACAGAAATATTGGAGAAAGTACGATACTAACCAAATTTGAAATTTTTGATGCCAGAGAAACTTGAAGTGGCTGCTGTGAGTCAAGGCCAAGTTTATCACTAATGCTACTCCTAACACCGTTCGAACCCGAATCCAATTCTGCATTCTTTCCACCTGAAAAGGGAACTGTGGCTTCAAGAAAGGGCCGGGAATCACATGAGACACAAATAACGCCAACCAAGCTTCCATCATCATCATAGAAAGGTGTATTGGTAGCCACAGCATAGAACCTATCCCCTTTCTTATTCTTAACAGGGAACTGGCCCCTCCAACTCTCTCCCATTTTGACATGGTTGAATAAATCATTTGCTAAGGCAAAATCCCTGTGATCCACAAGCATCTCAATCCCATCCCGCCCAAGAACTTCTTCTGCTGCATAACCATACAGATTTTCAGCACTAGGGTTCCTGCAAAACGGCGATCACAAACACTGAACCCCAGAAATAAAAAAAAAACAATTTTTAATGTAGATATCCAACCAAAAGCCACACCCCACATGATCAAACTTGAAGAAGCATCAAAATAACTACTCACCAGTATATGATACGACATTGAAGATCCAATACATGAACAGAGTGGCCCATTGACTGCAAGATGTTGAGATAGTTGGTATCATTTTGATGCAGAGAAGAAGAAGAGGGCTTGTTACACGTGGCAGAAGCCAACCTTGAACGAGACCTGTTGTCTTGGAGGAGCTTGAGGTTGGACATTTCTTGCTTGAGGTGAGCGTGACCAGCTTCTAGGCGTTCTATCTTTTTCAGAACCTCTTCTCCTTCTTCTTCTTGTGGGGTTCCCATTTCACTATTCAGTACTCACGATACAGTATGTGACTCACAAGTAAAGGGTTGATGAACTTCACCGTTAAGATATAAGAAGAAAGAAGACATACATACTTGTTTGCAACTTGCAAGGGTCAACACTACAGCAATCTAAGCTACTTTTATCTGTTTATTTTCCTTTCCTTTTCGGTGTTAGGCGGCTTCTTTTGCCTTTCTAGACATTCTCGTCCTAACAGATAAAACTCTAGTAGATTTAGATAAATTCGGTTCTTTCGTTTTCTAATTTCCAACATGAATCAAATTGAACTAATCATAGTTAAGATTGGTTAGTTTGATTTATTATTAAGTTAATAAAAATAAAATGATAAAAAAAAAAGGGATAGGCATTATATTAAGCAACTTGTAAGAAACAAAGCTCAATGTCCAAACAGAGTAAAAAAGCTATTTAATTGGATAAATTAGTACAAAACGATTTTTTAGACTCAAAATCTGAAATTAAATCAACTTTCGAATTTGCAGTTTTTAAATCAATTCATATTTTTCTTTGATTTTGTTCGGATTCACTGAATTATTGGATTGATTTGAACTGTATTTATTTCTTATTAATAAAGTGTAGAAGAACAAGTAATTAATTGAGACATGAGACACATCAAATTTATAATTTTTTAACAAATTTTATTCAATAAAAAAAATGTGTAGTGTTGTCTTAATAATTCTTTTTATACATTAGACTTGAGCACTAGGAGGTCAATGTTTGAGTGTTGGTTACTTGAAACAATATTTGCTAAGTACTTTGTGTTTGAGTACTAATTCTTTGATTTAATTAGGAGTGAGATAGAGAGGAGAGAAATCCAAAATAAATAAATAGGATGCATAGAAAGAGTGGAAAAAAAGTTTTAACGTGAAAAATAAAAAGAAATAAAAGAGAAAATTTTCTCTCTAAGTGCTTGGATGCATGAAAAAAAAATACTAATTAAAAATATAATTTTCAAATAATAAACAAAAAGAGAGAGATCATTTCTCTCCAATTCCATTCTAATTTTGAGGGAAGATATTTTCCGGTGATTCTTATATAAATAATTATTTTCTTAAACAAATGTTGAAATTTTTGCATCTTTACTCTCTCTCTATTTCTTTGTACTTTATTTCTATAAGGGAAAAAAAAAAAAAAAAAAGTTAAGAGACTTAACGCCTGCGTACTATCGATCAACAGTAAAATCTTATTGATTGTACCCATGGCTTTAAAGAAAAGCAAGAAAGAATATGAAGGGATACTTTGCACGTGTAAAGCATCTGAATTGCACTTTCTCAACTTGATTAGGGAATGGATCAAAAAAAAAACAAAACTTTATTAGGGAAGCTTGCGGTCAATCATTGGTTCTTCCTTCCCTCATCAATTAATAAAATTCATCTTTTTCTTTATTTATTTTTGTCGTGATTTATCATTAAATCCCTAATTAGGATGTTGATGTACTTGTATTAGATCATGGGTGCATGAACTTTAGTCTTATCTTTTTTCCCCTTCGAGTTTTGAGAAGAATTAGTGGTTACTTAGAAGACTTGACCATCAAATCTGTCATTGATCATTGGATTATAATTGAGTTACATTGCATATGATCCGTTGAATCAAATCATCATCCTAAAATCTTTCTCCTGATAGTTGAAAAAACCCAAAACCAATTTGTCATTTTTGGTTGCTATGTCTTTAGTTCAAGTGCATTTACTTTCAGTATTATGTTCATTTCTATTGGGCAATCAAATCTGTCATCGTGTGATTGGATTATTTGTTACATTGCATATGAACCATTGAATGAAATCATCATCCTAGAATCTCTGTTGATAGTTGAAAACCCTAAAACCTAGTTGTCATTTTGTCTGCTGTGATTGTAGTTCCAGTGCATTTACTTACAGTATTATGTCCATTTCAATTAGACCATCTCAATCCCTCGGAGTGTAAAGCAGTAATTGGTCATTTTCACCCTCCTGATCAACAATATATTAAAATAAACAATTCTCGTACTACTGAGGTTTGAATGGTGAACTCAAGATTCAAGATAAAATACTACTAAAGCTTTCAAGCTCACCAAACCATCTATTTACATCTGCTTTGGAGTTCTGCAAGGATATTCACTCACTCCCTAATGCTTTCTGGATCAGCAGTTGTGATTAATTCATCTGTCATTGTGTTTATTAATAAAATAAATCTGTGGAAACAGACACAATACAGTAATACAGATAAAGAAAGATAAGTGCATATTCATTTTTTATTTCTTTATTTTTTTTTTTTTTGACAGAAGCTAGCTCTCACGAAGTTTCAAAAATACAGGATAACCCAGCTTTTATTACATTGAAGGAAGGGATTTACAGGCGATGATGAAAAAAAAAGGTGGGGAGTTGGAAAGCAACATCGCAGAGGGCAAACCTTGTTGGAGACCAAGATTTTACAATTATTTGCTAACTTGGCATAAGCAGTTGCTTTCACAACAGAGAACAATGCAGGAGATGAATGCAATTGAATCCAACCACGGATTGGAGTTCACTGCAGCAGCTAATGCTGTATGCATTTGCTTGAAAAATTTGCAGGACACCCCATATTGACGACTCAGCACTTCATCTACTCTGCCATAACTTTATCAGTAAGATTTAAGGTTACATTTAGCTACATATTAACTAGCCACTCTCGCTGTACCGAACAAGTTGTCAGGGTGGGAAACATGAGTCCAATTTGGTAGAATTACATAGCCAAATCAGCTTCTTCAAATGCTTGTCCCTTAAGTTGCCTTGTTAGGTGAGCATAATCTATGACAACAAACTATCTAACGGTCAGCATGAGGGGAAGAGCCAGGGCTTTAAATTTAATCTTACAGCTACAGAATACCTATTTAACACTTTTAGGGTTTTTCCTTGTCACAGGTAGTTCAAGAAGAACAAAAAAGTAGCACCGTTCTGCCTCCCTGATATACTGGACTTCCCCATTCATTAGCTTTAGAATCTTCCTGCTCATGCTTAGCCCTAAACCTTCTTGAGTCACCCACCGACTGCTATTGAACATGTCTTGAATCAATTCAGGAGAAAGACCTTCACCAGGACATACCATCCTTCATAAAAAGAAAAAAAAAATATAAATATATATATTAGACACAATCGATTAAATAGCCAGGTGAAAATTGGATATATAGAAAAGCACCATCATTTCGGGCACTAAATTACAAGTTGCTAAATATAAGGGGAACTGTGGAATGTATTTAGCTAATAACCAGTGCTCGCAATTTTTATTTTTTCTTTTTGTTGGATAAGAACATTTTTTTTTCTTCTTTTATGTAATCTCATTTCAAGAAATTATGTGGAATGACAAGATATTACAAGGGATATCGATAAAACATACATCTTTAAGGTTTTCCAAAGTTAGAAGGCATTCTTTCTGAGTTCAGATAGGAAACCTAGATTTTCGATACCAATCTACCAAGGTTCAGAATATTCAATTATTATATTGTCATATTGAGATAGGGTTTATTAAACCCGAGACTCTTATAAACACTCATTTGAGTTTTTTAATTATCATCCGAAAACGGTAAGCACTTACTTGAGGACAAAAATAATGAAAATTACTCACGAGACAGTACCTAAATTCAGCATGGAGAAGAGTAAGCCCATCCGAAATTTGTTTTATTCTTGGGTGTACATGAATCTCTACCCAGCCATCTGGAGATGGTGCATAGCGCACTATATTCAATAAGAAATCAGCCAACACTTGCTGAATCCTCAATTGATCACCATAAACAGCCAATGTCTTGATTTCTTCAGGAATATCACGAATCAACTGTAAATTTCTTTCTCTTAACAGTAACATTACTTGGCTAACAACTGCATTTATGACATTTCCAAGCAAGAATTCCCCCTTTTCAAGCTCCAGGGACCTAACCCCAAAAGGAAAACAAAACATGAATCTTGCCTTTCTCTGAAGAAAATCAATGCAGTAAGTTTATAGGGACATTAAAGCAAGTAAGCACACTTAAGGCAACTAACAGAGGCTGCAAAACATAAAATGAAAGCATCAATTATCAACCCACTAGCAGAGCAAGTTATATTGAGATAGAATTGATTATTGATGTTCAGAGATACCAACTTCCCAAATTTGCATATCCTATTGAGAAGGTAGTGTACGTTTTAACATGATTGACAAGTGCTTTGTCTGACTAAGGCATGTTATGGTAAACGAAAATAGAAACTATTTTCTCAAAGTAACCAGGCCTGAAGACATTTGCCCACCCCATCATTATCAGATATTAACTTATTAAATAATTCTCAATTTCTCGCACTTTAGCATCAACCAATCAACAGTATCTAATAGTATCATGACTATCTTATTAGAAGGGAAATATAACTATATAATGAACTTAAAAACTATACTAGGATTTTAATTTTAGCATTACTTGATAAGTTGATTTGACATAAAACACCATCAAATACCCTGATTGACAAGTGCAAAATCAATACTCAATTTGCACATGTGAAAAAGGCCATTGACCTTAAAGATAGCTTTTAAAATTACAACATTCCTCGAATATTAAAGCCCGCAAGCCCTTAAATGCGTATGGATATCATACTCAAATAAAAAAAGTTTGGAACTACAGACAACTCTACATCAACATTCTAGTTACAGTCCTTTGGAGAAACAATGTTGAACCTTTGGTCTAACTTGGTAACCTAGCCCCATGTCAAAATACCATTTGGTCTAAAAACTTGGCTATTACATTTCAATACCATACAGACAAAAATTTTAACTATCTAACAGTGGCTTCCAGGACAACCAAAAGGTTTTAAAGGATTGCTCAGAAAACTTACCCATCCTCAATGCGTTCAAGATCAACGTCTCGTATTATCTTTAACATTTGCTTCTCACAAGCAGCACTAGTCTCAAGAAACTGCTTTTGCTCATCGGACAAGCCTGTAGCCTCCAAAAGAGAGTTAGTAAAGCGTATGCCACTCAGAGGGTTCTTTACTCCTTGACAAATATAAGCTAACTCTTTCATCCTAGCAAAGGTATTTTTTTCTTGTTGTCTCTGTGACTTTAGAGCCTGTTGAAGTTCCGGACTCACAATTTGCAAAAAGCAAAAAGCCCCAATGATCTGACCATCCATGTTGACCCTCTTATTTGCAGTGAGGAAAGTTTGTATGTACTTTCCATGCCGATCAAGAAATGAAAAAGGGAATTTATCAGTGTCTTGTCCGCCAAGCGCATTGTGCAAGACAATCATGAACTTTGTTACTGAATCTGGACCCTTCAACTGACAGCAATTCCCAAAAACCTCTCCCACCAACATTTTTCCAATGACATCCACACGGCCCCAACCAGTAAGTTTTTCCATCGCAGTGTTCCACTCTAAACAACACGTGTTATCGTCCGATGCAAAAATGGGAGGGATCAAAGGATTTGGACTGTGTATGATAGCCTTGTAGTCGCCTTGTATGTTGATGAATTTGTCCATCACAATTTTTTGACCAGTAACATCCTGACCAACAAAGCACACTCCAACTATATTATTTGTATAATCCTTGCTGGAGCAAGCATTCACCACTACAAAAACTGCCTTATTTTGATGTTCTGGGCCAAACGTCCTCATTTTTATCTCAACATTCTTATCTTCTTCACCTGTACTAATTAAATTCAAGTTATGTCATTATACAACCAATTATCAATACCTTATTTCTCCTAAAGCCAAACTAGATGTAGTTTACAGCAGTAGGCAACAATTTACTTCTAAGCTAGCTCATTGACATGCAGTCTGCCTGATTGAGTGGCTGGAAAGCGGAAAAGTGAGACCTAGTACATTTTATTTTCTATGACCTCAACCATACTTTTGTTATATCAAGTGTAAATTGATTTTCATTCTACAATCTCCTCCTTCACCTAGCAGACCCTAAACCCTAAATGGCACTCACTGGATTGGACTGTAAATGTTTTATTTTCTTCTTTTTTCATAAGCTTTGCATTGTTACACAGTTGAGTAGAATTTTCTGCCTAGGTTGCATTTTTTTTATTGAATTACTACTATATTAGTGAATCATATTTGTGCTTAGGAATTTGGAAGAGTTAGTTATTTATCATGCTATTATAGTTAGTATGAAACTATTACTTTCCAGTCCAGTTGACTCCAATACCGTTAAGTATCCCGTGCACCTACTAAACTTGTAGCCATCTTGTTTACAATCAAATAAAACATGCATTGCATCCCCTTCCAATGGAACTACAGTACAGGGCTCTCCTACCTAATATATATATATATATATATAGACCAAAATGGCAGAGTATGAGAAGGGGTACCTTTTAAAGCACGAGAAAGAAGCTTTTCGACAGTTTCTTCGGACTCCTTAAACACAAGATCGCGAACCAAGGACTTCCCCATAGCCTCCTCAACCGGGAGTCCTGTCAATTCGGAAACCTTTGCATTCCATCCATTCACGTGTCCATCCACATCAACAGCAAATATAGGAGCAGTGGCCGTTTCGATCAACCTAACCATCTCTCTGGCCACAGAACTCAGTTCATCCACCCCTTGCAACTCCAGTTCCCCCACCCGGGGATCCACAACAGCCTTGGAATTGCTATGCTCAGCATCCCTAAACGAGTCACGCAGAATAAGCTGCAGAGAGTGAATTGCATCCATTTCGGCGTTCTCCCACGGCAAGCTCCGGCTCTTGACGACCTCGAGAAACGCCTTGAAGGAGGAACGGGGGTGCATTCTCTGGCCATCATCCTTGTCCTCCGGATGATGCTTAGCACCACCCCACTTGATCTCCTTGGCCGTGTGCGACCTGAACCAGAAAAGAAAATCCTTCTCAGTGATATAAGCAACCGCCATCCCACAAACCGCATCGCCAAGCGAAGCAGCCCCAGGATAGCCAGCATCACCCAAACTATCAGTACTCAACCCGGTTGAATCTCCATGAAAAGCCAACAACCACTCAATAATATCCCTTATATGAGCCTCCGTGGGAGTCACCCCGAGAGGGTAGTAATTCCCCTGATAGTAAAGAGCAGCCCCATCACATTTGACCAAGTCCATAATACTAGGACTCTGAGTAACAATGCCGGTAGGGGAATCCCTCAGCAGCATATCACACAACAGAGTCTGCGTCCTCAAAACGCGCTTCTCCAAGGACTGGGCCGCCAACTGAAGCTCCATATTGAGCTGGAGCCCAAAGGCCTGCATGAGGAACTCGCAAGCGTACCTCAAGGGAAAAGGAATAGACCTAGCGGAAGTGTGATGGCAAACAACAAGCCCCCACAGCCTCATGGAAGTCCTTCCGGAAAGTGCAAGAGCCTCATCGTCGTTGCCGTTGATGATAACAGCCATGACCAGAGAAGCAATGGAACCCATGTTAGCCATGTACTGAGCGTGACAGCCATGAGGGGCACGCAGGGTGGAGCCCACGAGGCAGAGAGGCTGGAGGAGAGCCTCATCCTGGATGACTCTGACAGAGGAAGCGTGGCAATCGACGATCATGCGAACCCTATTCTGCTTGAAGAGGAACCTAGAAGCCTGAGGGATATCGGTGGCGGGGTAATGCAAACCAATGTAAGGCTCCAAATCGGGCCTCTTGCTCTCGGCAACAACCTCCCCGTGCTCGTCCTCGTGGAATTTGTAAACCATGACGCGGTCGTACCCGGTCAGCTCGCGGACGCTCTCCACGACGGTGTCGCAGAGGAGGGAGACGTCGCCGCCGGGGAGGCTCTGGAGCTGGGAGATGGCGCGGACGGCGAGCTTCTGGGACTGGACGGCGCCGGCGATGGAGAGGGCGGGGTCGGAGAAGGCGGCGGGCTCGAGGTCGATGACGATGCCGACGTCGACGCGGTGGAGGATGGCGTAGAAAGGGTTCCCGGAGGAGCGGGAGTGGATCCAGAGGGGGTTCATGAGGGAGATTTCGCGGGCGGAGAAGGCCTTGTCGAGGAGGAGGGCGGTGGAGGGGGTGAAGAGGGCGCGTACGTCGGCGCCGAGGGAGAGGGCGTGGTGGCGGTCGTCGAGGGAGGGTACCGAGTGCGGCGCAATGCCGAGCATGTCCCGGGCGTTGTCGGAGTAGGCGAGGAGGCTGAAGGAGGCCTCGTCCACTGCCAGCATGCAGCCGAAGGGCTGGATGAGCCCTCCACGCTGGATTTTCTGCAAATACGCCGTTATCTGCTGCTCTGGGATCCTCTCCGATGCCATTCTCACCGACTGCGAGTAGTCGAACGACCTCCCCGACGACTCCTCGAACACCGCGTGCAGCCTCGCGTCTTCCGTGTACTGCGCTATTGCCTTCCTCATCCACTCTGTTCCTGTTCCTGTTCCTGTTCCTCCTCCTCCTGACCCTGTCCCTGTGCCTGTCGCCATCGCACTCTCTCTTTCTGTTTGTGGTCTCAAACCCACTCTCCTTTCTTCTTTTTCTTTTCTTTTCTTCTCTCTTCTCTTCTCTTCTCTTATATACTACACCTTCTTTTCTTTCTTCTTTCTTTTTTTTTTTTACCTCTCTTTTCACTTTCTACCCACTCTTTTCTTCCACAATTGCTTCTCCCATTTTTATTTTCTTCATCTTGCTCCGCTGGAATTTCTTGTGGCCAGAGAATGCAAAAAACAAAATTATTCAGAGCATCTCCGGTGTCCCAACCACTTTAAATGGGTCTTACCACTTTAAATGAGTCTTACTGTACCACGTCACTCATAAGCAACTCATACTATATTTTTCGAGAGTTAAAGCTCATTTGTTGAGGATTTATGAAACTAGAATTTTTGTGTGTGCAAGTGTAAATGATCAATATTTGGTTGAATTGAAATCAATTGTTGAATTGGATGAAAATAAAGTGAAACCTAAGCATGTTCCATCCCCTACAGAGAAAATGCATCAGAGTTCTTTATTGAAAAAGAGAAAAGTTGGTCCTTTGGAGAAAATATTTAATTTAGAAAATAGAGATAATCTCAAAGCTCTCATTGCTAGAATGTTTTATTCTTCTGAACTTCCCTTCAACCTTGCCAGAAATCCCTATTATGTGAATTCTTATCCATTTGTTGCAAATCACATGCTTAATGGTTTTCTTCCTCCTGGATACAATGCCTTGAGGACAACTCTCTTACAATAAGAGAAGACACAAGTTGAGAGGTTGCTTAAACCTATTAAATCGACTTGGAATGCAAAAGGTGTTAGCATAGTATCTAATGGATGGAAAAATATCCAAAGAAGACATTTAATTAATTTTATGGCTATAAGTGAAGGGGGTCCAATATTTTTAAAAGCTATTAATGTTTCTGATGAGATTAAAAACAAACATTATATGGCTAATAAGATGATAGAAGTTATAAAAGAAGTAGGAGAACAAAATGTTGTTCAAATTATAACAGATAATGCTCATGTATGCAAAGGTGCTAGAATGATTGTTGAAATTTCTTTTCCTAAATTTTTTTGGACTTCTTAATTTGTTCACACATTGAACCTTGCGTTGAAGAATATATGTGCGGCCAAAAACACTAAAAGGAATGAGGTAGCTTATGTTGAATGTAATTGGATTACTTAAGTTGTTGATAATGTTTCTTTTGTTAGGAACTTTATCATGAATCACTCAATAAGATTGACAATTTTTAATCACTTTTCACCTCTAAAATTGCTTGCTATAGCTGAAACACGCTTTGCATCTATTCTAGTGATGTTAAAGAGATTTAAACTTTTGAAAGGTGTTTTGCAATCAATGGTTATTAGTGAAGAATGGAACTCTTATAGAGAAGATGATGTGGGTAAGGCCCAAGCTGCAAAAGAATTTATTTTGAATGATGTGTGGTGGGACAAAATTACATATATTCTTAATTTCACCGAGCCTATTTATAGTATGCTTAGGGCTTGTGACACAGATAGTCCCATTCTTCATTTGGTCTATGAGATGTGGGATAGTATGATAGAAAAAGTAAAGACGTCTATATATAGATATGAAGGAAAAGAGTTAAATGATACATCAACATTTTATGAAGTTGTTTATTCTATACTAATTGATAGGTGGACTAAGAGTTGCACCCCTCTCCACTGCATGGCTCACTCTTTGAATCCTAGGTAAAATTAGCCTATTAAATATTTATTTGTTTTTATTATTTATTTATAAATAATTTGATAGTTACTAAATTTTTTTATTTATTAACTTTTTTTTCAATGGATAGAGGAGTGCGAAATAACTTTTCAGCTATTTAAGAAACGGCTCGGTACCCCACCTGTACTGACCAAGCTGACCCCTGACCGAGAAGCAATACTGTATTTGGCAGTTTCGGGCGAGGCCATAAGCGCTAGCATGATACAAGAACAAGACGGCCAACAACAACCGGTGTACTTCATCAGCCGAGTGCTTCAAGATGCCGAACGCCGATACCAAATGTTGGAAAAGGTAGCGTTGGGACTTATATATGCAGCTAGGCGCCTTCGGCAATACTTCCAGAGCCACACAGTGGTGGTCCGAACCGATTGTCCGATCGCCAAAGTGCTATGAAAACCAGAACTAGTCGGTCGAATGATGGCATGGTCAATCGAGCTATCCGAGTTTGACATCCGTTTTGAACCTCGGGGGGCCATCAAAGCACAAAGCCTAGCCGGCTTCATCAACGAATTATCACCACTCATCCACTTTGAAGACAACACTTGGACAATGCGGGTAGATGGCTCCTCCAATGGCCAGGGTAGCGGTGCCAACATCATCTTGGAAAGCCCGTCTGGCATCACCTTGGAACAATCACTGCGTTTCGGCTTCCGAGCATTGAATAACCAAGCCGAGTACGAAGCTTTATTGGCCGGAATGCGCTTGGCAGCCGAAATGGGGGCTAGAAAAGTCACATGTTGGACCGAGTCGAAGGTTGTCACCGAGCAAGTAAATGACAACTTTCAAGTGAAAGATCCTAATCTGCTCAAGTACTACCACCTTTTTTGGGGAATGAGCAATCAGTTCGAGGAGATACAAGTTAGGCACACGCCGCGCGGGGCTGAGGGGTCGCGCACGGGGGCAGTGGCTTCTGGGCCGCGGGGCAGAGGGGTGGCGCACGGGGGAGGTGGCTTCTGCCGCGCACGGGGAGTGAAGGGGTCGCGCACGGTTGGCGGTGGCTTCTGGCAGTCGCGCAAGGGGAGCGGTGGCTTCTGGCGCGCGGGGCGGAGGGGTCACGCACGGGGGCGGTGGATTTTGCCGCGCACGGGGGGAGGAGGGGTTTGGCCGGTGACGCTCGAACGGCCACTGGCGACAAGGGCGAAGGGGTTTGGCCGGTGACGCTCGAACGGCCACTGGCGACATGGGCCGGCGTTGCCAAACCTCCCGGACAAAGGAACAAGACGTGAAGGACGTGAAAATGGTTTTTTCTGTTTTTCTTTTTCATAAATGTGGTCCACCTAGATAAATTTCAACCAATGAAATTGTTTTTGTCACTGCTAAGGGCTGTTGCTTGTACAAGCAATTCACAAAAAAATTTAAAAAATTCAGCTGCCATGTAAGACAAGTCCAACAGGAATTTGTTACAAGGAACGGTGCTTAACAATAAGAAACCCTTCAAGCACCCTCCGTTGGAGGTGCTCTAAGAAACTCTTTATAATCATTGTCATTCATTCATCGGAACCCAAATACATATTCTAGCTGTTAGTAAAATAATATAAATTGAAAAGACGTTATTTGACTACTTTTTTTGTATAGCATAGTGTAGTTGAATTGAATTATACTTTATAACGAAAAAATGTTTAATCATTTAATCACTCAAAGGACTTTCGGCAAATCGACAGACGAATAGCATTTCATGATTTTACCAACAAGCACTGCTTTTTTTGTTTTACAGAAATTTACAGAGCACTGTTATTTCGTTAGTTAGTTATTTAACTCATGTCGCAATGTTCGTGTAGCACACTGGCATAGGCATAAACATTACAACGTGTTTCATGCAAATTCCTGTTTGATTTATCGCAAATTTGCGGTGAGAAAAATGAATTGCTATTTATTTAGATAACTCATAAATCTATATTCCTTGAATATTGCTTTAACTAAAGTTAACTCAAATACACAGAAATACATTTTTTTTAATCCATATACACAGATATACATATTACATTCAACAGCTCAAAATTCATTTTATCAAAATCAATTATACTAAATTGCAAAACCAACGAACCTTTATTAGAATCATTCAAAGATGTTTTTTTAGGTATTTAAAAACTAATTTCAGAATGAGAAGAATGAATCTAAACTTAGTAAATTTTTTAAATTTTCCATTAATCAGTAAAGTTGATTTTTAGTATGAAACTTATTAAGTATATATTTTGATAAACTTCTCAATATATTAATACTTCTTTTGATAAACTTCTTTATATATTAATACTTCTAATAGAGAAAAAAATCTCATTGTTAACAATTTGGTTAATCTCACTATGAATGTATTGATTTTGAAAATTTGATAAAATTGGATATCCAAATCAAATCAATTAAATTGGTTCAATTTGTTTTAGATTAAATTAAATAAATTTGACCTTAATTGATTTGAATAATATAATTACATTTTACAAATCAAATGATTCAATAATTGAATTAATTTATTTTTATTTTTATTTTTTAAATTGATTTTATTATTGTTTAGTAATGCATTAACACTAGTTACACAACTCACTCAATAATTTAGTTATGTTTGAGAGGCTACCTTAATTTTAAATGTTAGGCTACTTGAATTTTTAATGTTGAACTATATATATTGAATTACTTTAATTTCATATTTTCTTATGTTACTCTTTTATTCACACTCAAATGTTATGTAACTTGTTTTAATAATAGGTTTATATTTAATTTTTAGGATGAAATAATATTTTTTATATATATTTTAAAAAATATAAATATAATATTTTTCTTCAAGAATACTAATTAATTTGAACCGTATCAACCCATTGTTGATTGATTTGGTCTGGTTCATGTAATGTGCTAATCTTTCGTCGATCGAGTGAGTCAACTACATAGGCTCTTCACATTTCTATGTTTGAGTTTCGAGGGTTGTGTATCATATCAATCTCTCAACAACCAAGTATTCAAATACTCTTTGAAGGGTTGTGTACCATACTAGTCTCCTACCGACTGAGTGAACCAAGCATGCTCTCCGAATGATGGTCGACCATTTTGTCAAATTTGCCTCATGAGAAGACTTGGTCGATTTTCGAACCATTCCCACAAGTAGCTAAGACAAGGCACTATGATTTATAAGATAAACATGATAACGATCATAAATGTTAAGATTTATAGGCCTATTAATGACAATAATAGAATAACATTATTTGTGGAGTCATGGAAAGAAATAAGAGATTCATGTCCATGATATTATCTTAATGTATATAAAGAGAATTTGATGCCTAAGAGAAAATCTATTTTACACTCATTAAATATTATGGACTAGAGCAATTGCTATGCATTTCTAGAAGA